GTTCCCTTGGTGCCCTTTTCCCTCAGTCTTGTTTCCCTCTCAGCAGGGGGAAGCAGACTCTGCGTGGTCCTCTGCTGATTGCATCGGGGAGAGTCATTAAGAAGAATTAAAAAGGAATCAGAAAGAGAGGGAAGAGGGGAACAAAAGATTAACTGAACAGCCCCAAACAGTTACAAACTCAAACAAAAGAACAATGGGATCTTCCTGCTCAAAGCCCTGGGCCACGCTCACCCAGGAGCGAAGGACAGCAGTGCTCCAGTAACTTACTGGGTGTTTGGATGCATTTTTGTTAGGACATTGGTGACATGGGTTGTGGGGCTGGTTGTGGAAGGTGTCATCTGATTGTTCAGGTTAAAAAATTAAAAAAACCCACCAGAATTAGATTAGTTGGGCAAGTTTGACTCCTCCATCTGCTGACATAGGCAATGGCTCTGTATTCTGGCTTTTGGAGAAGGAATAGTGTGTAAGATACCTGTTCTGGGGAACAGTGTCTCTCCTTCAGTGAAGCTCTGGGGAAGTATCAGCCTCCGCTAGCAGCCACTCTAGCTAGGGAGCAAAAGAGTGGGATGGAGCTCCTGGTTCATCCTGTCCTGTGTCCCAGCATCATTTGAGCTCCAAGGCTGTGGATGTGTCTGGTCTGGGAAGATCTGGTTTATAATCCAGATTCAATGCCACAAAGATTTTTTCCAAACTAACTGCCTAAATTTTAAGTCCGTCTTCAGATGGCAGCTCTTTCACATGACAACCACTCATTGGGTCTGAATTGTGACTGGAAATGAGCAGTCATCTCTTAAAGGCTTGATCTTTGAATTCTGGATGAGTGCTTGCAACCTGGAGTCTGTAAAACACTACGGAGAGGTGTCTCAGGATCCTCACCATCTTCACTTCCCTCAGCTGCTTCTTCAACACCAGCCTACTCCTGCCTGAACGTATCTTTTTAGGGCTCTGGGCAAAGGCAGAAACTTTAAGATAGCAGTGAGGTAATTTTTGCTGCAGAGCAGCCTGAAGACTGGCAATGGACATGGTGATGGGAGAACATGGCAGAGCACTGACTCTGAAGACTGGCTGTAGAGCCTCATTCTGAAGTCCTACAGGCCACACACTTGCCTGGGTCTGACACAGTCTCTGGTTCGGGTTCCTTCTCAAACCATCACAAAAACAGCAGCATTTCCACTGGGTTTATTTCTGCATGCTGGAACTTGGCTTCAAATGGATTGGATTTTCTCACACAAGTATTTGCCCCAAGAAAGTTCCTGGACCATTTTCCTATTAGGCCTCTTTGCTAAGAATTTCACTGAGGTAGTTTGCAGCTGCAGATGTTCCCGTGCATTGGTTACCAAGGCTTAGGCTACAACTGTTACAGTAATCCTTAAACCTAGCATGGTGTCTCCCCATGAACATCATGGATATGCTTGTTTATGTATCACCTGGCATACCACAAGCTGAGGCAGAACCTGAAGGGGTTCTGCTAACGCTGGGGAGGTTTGGATCATATACTGAAATAGGTTTAGCTGCTGTGCAAGGTATGCTTTTCATTGGTGGTACATTTAATAGCTTATATTAGCTAATTTAAATGTATATTCTGGCTTCTACTGTATGTTAATATGGCTCTCTGCATTTATATGCCTAAATGTATTCTGGGTATAAATGTATCTCTTGTTAAAACTTACAGTTTTATCTTTATACAGATTTCCAGTATTGGGTTGAAATGCTGTCATTTTGATGCACTTGCATCAGGCTAATCCTGTGGGAATGTCTGGTCCCCAGACCTATGTGAGGTAAGTGTATCTAGTGGTGTGTTTCTGGGGTATGTTGTGAGGGGCTGCATTGTTATGTTGTGTGCTGGGTGCATCCCCAGGGTGTTTCTGTGGGGTGTTCTGAGGCATTCACTCTGAGCATTGCCATGGGGACGAGCAGGGGGACGAAACACAATTTGTATTTCTTAGTGTTGTGTGATTGTACTCTCACAGTGCCTCAGAGTGAAGGTGCATGGTGAACTACACACCTCTGTCCTGTGTGGTTGTGTATGACGATAATGTGCATGCACACATGCTCTCTCACATACAGGCACACACCCTCCAGGCTCCAGTGCCTGTAGGAGAGTGTGTGTGTGTGTGAATGCTATTTAAATAAAAAAGAAAGGAAGTGAATCAGGGTCGTTTCCATTTTAATTGTAAAACAGATAAGCACTAAACACTTTGAAAAAGTAAATGACTTGAGAATAATTACTATCTATTACTCTGCATCCCAGGGGGGCAGTTGGAGGAGCCCAGATGGCTACAAAAATGGGATTTAGCAGAAAATTGAAGACATTATTCACCGTAACACATTATCAATTACCTTCATATCAATTACAATAACCTTACATTAGAAGAAGGGCCAGGAGACTATCTTCAGCCCCCAGCCTGAATAGTAATCGCACTACCCCTATGGATGTTGTGTGTGTGTGTGTGTGTGTGTGTGTGTTAGAGGGTGGGGGGCACCACTGGGTTGTGCAGGGGGTTCTGGCAGCTCCCACTGCTTGTAGGGGAGAGGATATTAATAGCTCAGGGTAGTTTCCCCTCCCCTCCCTACAGTCACCTCATGGAAGGTTTTTCTCTGTCCTGTTTGTGTGGTCTAATAGCTCGAAGGGCAGATAATGTGGCTCCTTCCAAGAAATTCTGCTTGGCTTGTCATTTGGGAAGTTCAGAGTCTCTGTGCAGAGACTGCTGTTTTGCACCAGTGTCCTCTACTTTCGTCTTCCCTCTCTCAGCCATTTCAGCCAAGCTGCTCAGTTTGTGAATGGGGGCTGATATGCCATCTGAGGTCCTTTTTGTAGGACTTGTGTTTCCTGGTGTAGCGGTCTGGCTCCCTCTCATCCTGTGCAGGAGGCTGGATGCCAGATCCAGATGGGGCAGCAGCTTGTGCTTCCTGTATATGGTCACAGAGAGGTTACACAAGGCCTTGGGTGGGATATAGAGATGAACCAGTGAAAATCAATTTTTAAAACAAAAATCTCCCTTCCTCCTTTTCTCTAGGGATGGTGGAAGGGAGTAGTACCAAGTGTGCACTTGGGAAGACCAGTACGAAGGCTGCTTCAGCAGGCTGGTAGCATGAAGATAGGTCTAAGGACATCTTGTGGCCTGTGGCTGTCTCTTGTTGCCAGCTGGGATAGCCCTTGGAACTGGGGGTAGGTCAGTGCTTCTGACTGTAGCTGGTTAATGATGGCTTGCCATGATGCCATTCTGAAATTCCACCTGCTGGATCTGGATTTGATAGGACTCACCCAAGTATTTATACATGCAACACCAAGATCTAGCTGTTGTAGTCCCATTCTCTGCTGCAATCCAAACAGGACTGCAAAATCCTGCAGTCCAAACTGCCAAAGTATCCCAGCCTGTGTGCAAAAGTGCATGTGGAACACAAGCATTCAGGCACATCCGGGCACTTATGAGTTAAACTATTGGTGGCACTCCCTCCAGCCTCCCCCCTTTCCCAAATATGCAGTGGAGTGTCCAGTGGGTTAGTGCAGAGAGGACTAATTGCTATTAAAAGGCTTTAATCTGGGAGATTAGTGCTGGCTCCAGGCGGTGTTTGCACACGAAGGAGACGTTTCCGACGAGATGAACTAGAATTCGTCCCTGCTGTTTTGTTGATAGAAAATCATCTTCCCCTTGGTTTTTTCTCTTTATCTCCGTCTCTCTTGCTTTCTTGCTCTCTCTGATCATTTGCTTTTGCCTCCTCCTTGAAGCTGAGCTGAGAGCTTTATTGTTTTTGAGAGCAGCAGTCCTCTTTGACCTTTGGGGTCGGTTGTCTTAAGACATACGTAAAGACATTCGTGAATGTACGTGTAGATGTGATCAGTTTCCTGCTTCAGAGAGTCTCTCAGAAAATAGATCCTGATCAAGAGAAGTAATAATAGTATGTTTTCCCATTGCTTACTGCTGAGTCTCTTGTGGGTCAATGAGGGGCCTGCAGAACCCTTCCTATAACATGGGTCAGCCCAGACCCCTTCTCCTGGGCAAAAGCTTGATCCAGGGAGCATCAGGAAGAGGTGTTGCAGGCTGAACACCCTGCAGAAGTAATTAGTGGGAGGTAATTAAGTGATTACATATGGGAAGGTATGGAGCATTACTGGACCTCTGGCATGACCCAGGAAATGTCACTATTGACTTTGATGAACACTGGATCAAGCTCAATGGAAATTACTTTGATAACATGCCAGATGCGTCCAGAGAGCCTGTCCATGAAGGAGACACATTTGACCTGGGAGCACAGAAATCTTTGTGTTACACTTGCTGGAGGATCCAAAAGCAGAGGTGCTTATTCTGAATTCACTGTTATCAGAAATCCAAGAGAGTCTCTCAGGTCTGACTATCTAGACAAATAATCCCTGCTGCTCCTACTGTCTAGCTGGCATTTTCACAGCTTCCTCAAGACATTAAGTGCCAATGTCCCTTTGGCAAGCACAAAGGAATAAATGGACAGTGTTTACATATAACTTGAGTGGAAGGAACTGAAGTAATTGTATTCCAAAGAGAAGGATGTGTGAAAACTTCAGGAGGAAAGGACTCAGGTAGAACCACAAAGTTGCATGGTCCTTCTGGCCTTGAGGGTGCCCAGACAAAATGTAGGAAAGAGAAATAGTAAGAAGGAACGAGTGTCCCCAAATCAATGAGGCCAAGAATAAAGAGGACATTTAGGGATGGGGGAGAATATTGGTCCAGGATTTGGGTCTTCCATGCAAAGAAGTCAAGGCTTTCCAAAGAGGAAACACTTTATTTGCAAAATGTCATACATCATTATTCTGTGCTCTGTCTGAACATTGTGGGCATTGCTCTTTTGCAGGATGCTGCTGGAAACTTCCGTAAGATTGTACCATGATTATTTTCACCATAAGTATGTATTTTTAGGCAGCATAAATCAGACACTGGGAGCAGAGAAGGGAAAATTAAGTCATATGTGTATTCCTGGGGACAGTATGGATTTCCAAAGACAGCTGTGGAGCCTGTTGAAGGCAGTTGTGGAGCCTGTTGCTTGGAAGAGTGGTATGGTGGTGTGTTGTTCTTTGTTTATTTTTTACAGTACCTGGATTGGTTATGAAATGTCACACCGTGGTTCTCTTAGGAAAGCTTTGTTGTGGGTTGGAATTTTATATAAAAGTATTTATTTCTTTTCTTCCCTCTCTGCCCCCGCCTGAAAATCCAAATTATTACTGTCAGCCAGCAGGAGGGTAGACCTACTGCTCATGTAAATTGCTCTATTTCTGTTGTTTGCCCTTGTTCTCTCAAGTTTGCAAATGATACTGGTGTAACCAACATAAGGATCTGGCCTCTAGCATGTGTTTGTCCCATCTGCTGTCCAGCATGTTAATTTTCATGGAAGACACAAACTTGCACGGACGGTGATTTTAAGGAGGGGCCCTTTTGCTTTTCAAGAGCCAACTGTGAAGCCTCAGGGGCCCAGTTCTGAAAGGCAGTCAATGCCAAGATCAGGAGGCGTTGGGAACTTGGGTCCTGGCAATTTCTGGCTTCTGGTCCAATACAGACAAGACCATAGGGAAGGAAGCATGTGTTAGACATTTGTGTAAAAGTAGCAATGATGTTAAAGATTTTTGGGTAGAAACGTCCTTGGGGGGAAGGACCAGGCTTGCAAAAAGGACTCAGTTGAAATAAGCCTTGAAAAATCCTCAGAGGGGTTAGAAATGGTGGCCCAGGGAGTATATTTCCACTGCAGTTGTCAACCAAAATAAAAATAATGATTTATTTAAAAAAAAAAAGCAACAAGTGGGAGGTATCTGTTGCTTTCGCTGATCCCCTTTATCTTTCCTAGTTCGATAGGAACAGAAGTATGCCAGGTAATGGTTTAAGTGATTCTTTTTCCCACTACTGAATGCTGCAGATATTTACAATTATTAATAGCCAGGCTTCTTAACATGCCTGGAGGTCTTGAAAGTCCTGTGTTTTCAGTGCAAGACTGGAAAATCCTGAGATTTTCTAAATGCTCAGACATGATCTTAAAAAGAAAAAAGGAAAAAAGAAAAAAAAAGCCAAACCAAAAATCATAAAAGTATTTGGAAAGCGTCCTTTAGTTGGATTCTATTTCAACTATTGTTTACTCTTGTTAATGTTTGTTAGGATACATTTCTTGAATGTTACTGCTCTCATGCAAGTGGCTCATTGTACATTTAGATGGTAGTGTTAGTAACTCTTCAGTTTTTCTTGCATGTTTCATGAAAACTACTGAGTTTCTGAAACTCCTTGCTCCTTCGAATCAGGTAAGCATATGACAATGTGAGCTGTGCTTTCATTTTGTTATCTTTTCAATGTTTCTATGTCCAAGGTGGGCATTAAATCAGACTAAATAGCCTGAGGAGCTTTAAATTGTCAACCAAATCAAGAAGCTTAAAGAAGGAACTCAGGATCTATGATATTACAAAGTATTTTAATGACTATCACTGAACCTTCTGGTTTTAGCGCATATGGCACACCATTTTTTAACTTATTATGTTGGAAATACCACCCATAGGCTTCAGGTCACTTCCAAATACTCATGGAAACCGATCTTTTATTGTATCCACCTCACTGCATGATTGGAGCCCCAGGGATCTGCATCTAGGGCATCTGGAAGGAGTTGACCCCTTGGAGTGTGAAGAAGTGTTTGGAGCTCTCCACATGCTGAACCTCTTCAACCAGAGTGTAAAACTTCCACTTGACTTCAAAGGAGTTTGAAGTCCCACATCTGGGAGTGAAGGTCCAGTCATGTATGTGACTTGCACAAAAGCACCCTCGAAACCATGGGAACATGTGTTTTTTTGGGAGGGAACTGCACAGGTATTTAGAGAAAGCAGGAGAAGCGGTGAACGGTGCAGGACCAGACTGGGGACAAGAGACTTAGGAAGGGCATGTGGGAGATCTGTAAAGGACCACTGCAGGAGGCAGATTCCAAAAAAAGAGAGATTCTGATGCAGGCATTGGAATGGGAAAGCTCAGCGGATGCAAGGCAGCAGGGAGCTCACTGGAAAACTAACTAATCCCTTTTCTCCAAGCTAGAGGTAGCCAAGGATGGAGCTTACCTCTTCTAGTCTGCCAGTGGCTTTAGAAATTTTAAGGCAACCTAAATTAAACCTGGCCCCTGATGGGTCTTCTGCCTTCCTAAATCCAATTAGCCAATCATGACTTTTCACTTAACTGCAATGTCTTTAATTGGATCAAAATAACAACAGGAAGCATAGAAAATTACAGGAATTTACTTAGCATGCAGGGCGGAGCCTTGCAGCTGGGATCATCATTATCTCTAGCACAGGTTGAAGAGTTCATCAGAGGTGTAAAATCTCCATGAACAGTTCTCAATATCATGTATAGAGCTTTTTCATCTTTGTTTAAGCTACAGACATCCACATAGAAAGCTATAATAGGTGTGGTGGTACAGCTTGCTGTTCCTCTGCATGTGCACTCTAGCCAGCAAAATTTGACTGCATGCAATACCTCCTTTGCACTTGGTGGCGTGAAGGGGCTTTTGGACAAATGAAATGCCTTTGAATGGCCTCCAAATCTTTAAAGTTGGGCACAGGCTATGCAGAACTGAGGCCTTTGGGCAGCAGTTTTCTTTTGAACTGCCATTCAGAAGTGCTGGGGCTGTATTGAAACACAATAGCTCCAAAATGTGCATTCTTGTCATGTTACTGGACATGGGGTAGCACCACCAGATGAGCTTTAAAAGCCAAATCCCAGCGTAGCAAGGCAACAATGACAATGCATTAGCACCAGCACAGGACTTGGCGCTGACAGAGATGATCTAGCAATGCTACTAATAAGATACACACTTCTTCTAAAGAGTTGTGTCATTGGGATGCTCACTGGGATGTGGGAAAGAGGGGATATGGCTGGCACCTGCAACATTTTTTGAGCATGATTTGGAATGGGATTCTGGAGATCAAAACATACGTAAGAGATTCCAGGTTAGTGATTTCTTTTTTTCTGCTTTATTTTACTGGTTGGTGATGTGCAGCGTATGATGAATACAGAACCAAGCAAAACAGAATAAACAGGAGGAAAAAGGCAACTCATTTCCTGTTTTCTATACAACGTAAGGGACTTCCTTTCTATCAGAGCAAGTTTCATCATGCAAACCACACTCTATGCATGCTGTTGCCACTTCCTATCCAAAGGATGCTTTGCAGCCTCAGTGAATGTTGATCTGGATTTACATGACCCAACAGGGATCAGATTTTTGCCCACTGGGAGCTGTCAATGAATGCAAAGTGTGACGTAGTGCTTATCTAGCATGCACACGAGAGACCCTGCTGCAAATCAGGAATGACTTCACTCAATCCAGTGGAGCTGAACAACCATAAATGAGCAGAATGAAGCCCACACATTATCCTGGGCTAGCATGCTATCTTTAGCAGGCCCTAATGAATTCAGCTGCAGCGTGTAGTCATTAATCCCAGTGGAAAGAGCAGCTCACCATTACATGACCTGGGATTTCAAGAGTTTGCTATTAATGCACCAGGCTGCTGTCCTAATGCAGAGCCCTCCATGGCTTGAGGCCTGGGGAAAAATGTGCATTACCCTGGACCCAGCCAAAATCCCAGCAAAGCTCTTTCAGCACCTTCCAGCCTGGGTAAGAAGGGCTTGTAAGAAGTGAGGAAAGGCCAGGGTAATAGATGGCACACAGGGCCCTGAAATTGTTTATGATGCAAATATGTTTAAAAGCACCGCATTGCCTCCTCTGGGAAAAGGAGCTTAGAATTGAAGTTTAATGATAACAAATGATTGTTAATGAGTTGTCTAAACATAATAGATGGAAAGAATTAAAAGCCTAGAATAAACAGGGTTTCATTAAAGCACAATAAAGAAACAACACAAATTTCATATCTTGGAATAAATGGGCCCTTGTGGTCTTGCTGGGAGTGGAGGGTGCTGATGTGGGCGCATGGGCTGTGGATCTAAGTCCTCTCCTGTCCAGGTGCTCTCCCTGGGTGTGGGGCTCTGGCGGCTGTGTGGCACTTGCTGGTGGGATCAGCTTTGTGGTGGCTGCTTAGGGCTCCACTTCTCCACAGTTTACGCACATGCCTGACCTGCAGCACATGAGGAATTCACTGTTTCACCAGCACTCCTCAGGTGCTTGAAAGCAGGCGCTTGCTCGAGTGTCCTGCTTAAGCACCTCTTAGTGCTGTCAGCGCTTTGAAATGGAGAGGGAGACAGGTTTTGTTCAGAGGCGTTTACAGCCCTTCCTTACAGCAGCAAATATTGGTTTCAGGGTGCACAGGACCCCCTGGGGACTTTTGACTGTTCCTAAGTGAGTCTGCAAAAGTAACTGAGAAAGGCAAGTTCAAACCAGCTGTACAACTATCTACAGATAGGTTTTTAAGCCCTTCAGGTGCTGATCTTTTTTACTTTATATTTTAAGAGCCCACAGATAAAGTTGAAAATCAGTCCCCTAGAAAAGTGTGTTACTGAGAACGTGAAATTCCACAGAGATTTCACAAATGGTTCATCAGAATGTTAGATGCCAAGAGCACACACCATATTTCATCTCAGTGTGTGGCAGATGGCATATTGTGGATAGATTTTTAGACCAAGATTTTATTAAGGACATGTGAAGAGATGATCGATAATTCCTTGGTGGTTTGTTTCCTAGACTGTATTTGACATGGTGACATTATTTTTGTTATTTGTGTGGGGTGGGAAACTTTGAAATTTGAAACTTGTTTTCAGGCTTTAGAGCAGATTTCTACTTCAGGTTTCATTTGAAATTATCCCTTAGATGAGAGCAGTGTTCTGCAAGGCCCTTTTAGATTCTGGGAGTCTAACTCAGCATTTAGAATTTGTCATTAAGAGGAAATGTGGGGCAATAGGCAAAACCTGAAAATATGTTGCAAAAAGCATGTCAAGATTTTCTCAGAAAAACTGCTTAAAAAATAATTAAAAGGCTCCTTTTTTTTTTTTTTTTCCTCTAGGGATTCAAAAAATAAATTAAAAAACCTCAAGACTTTGTCCTCAATCCCCCCCATTTTCTGTTTGTTGGCTTGCAGATCTTGTTCGTGTTTCAGGAAGGACTGTATGTTCAGCAGAGTGTATGTGAGAGCAGGACGCTTTGCTGTGGTGATGTGTCTGTGTTTTGGAGTGTGTCCATGTCCAACTGTAATATACTTATCTTTATTGATGTGCTTTATGATGGGTGGATTGCAGATCTGACAGGTTCTTTCTATGCATTTGTGAAGCTGCACCAGGCTCGGCACTAGACGACCCCAGTCCTGACAGTAACCCTAGAACAGCCCCAACATTCAGCAGGGGCTGGCTCCTGCTCCCTTCATTCATACTAATTTGTACTTTACCCCATGACTGGTTTGCCTGAAGCTGCTGGGAATACTTGTGAAGTGTGCAACACAAATGCAGGACAAGAAGGCTTGAAAAACCCAGGCAAAAATTAGAGCTGTGCAGTGTTGGAACTCAGCAGTGTTTTCCACTGGGAAAATGACGTTCTTGTGACACAGGGTGTCTCTCTTTTTCTTGATTAAAAATCTGAACTTTTCTCTGTGAAAGATGCTATTTGGAAGTTTCTGTTGAAACTGAAAAATGATTAAGTTTTCAGTATGGATTTAAGATTTTTTTTTAAGAACAACCTAGAAAAAGTATCCCTCTTCTTCTCTCCAAATCAAGGAAATCAAAGTTACAAGTGAAATGAGATTTTTGACAGGAGCAAGAACGTTTCTTAACATTTTTATTAACTAGAATTACCACTAGTATTATTCTTGTTTCCCTTTTGTTAGTACTAATACAGGTATCTGCTTGTGCACTTAGGCTTAATGTAGAACAGTCTGCCTTTCTGAGGGCATTTGATCTTAGTTGGGTATGTGAGAATTTGGGGTCCTGCTGTACCTGTGACATTGTCAGTGCTAAATACAGCTGTGCAAAGGCACTGAAAAAGATGGGGTGAACCTTTAGCTGTGTTTGCGTTGAACACTATATGTGACCACATGGGGAAAAGGCACATCCATGTGGATATGGTGTTAGTCCTTCACAGAGAGGAGGTCTGGAAGGTGATAGTCCTGCTTCTTGGCAGCTGCTGAATGACTTTCACAATGAAGTTTCTTTCCAGCACAGCGAGAGAAGAAGGAAAGCTTCCAAATGCTTCTTATGCAGCTGAATGACATCAAAATGCAGGCTGAGGGTTCATATCTGAGCCTCTTGGAACAATGATATTCCCGAGGAAAACTTGATCCAGATGGATCCAGTTGCCCAAATAGGTCAGTTTTGATAAAACTTAGTTTAACTGAATGAAACATTCTGACTGGCTCTAGTGAGGAGTATCAAAATGACAGCCTGAGCTCTGGTTTGGGGAGTCTGATGCCTGGCATCATGGACAAGCAAAATCCACTCTGTGATTTCAGACACAGGAATGTATGAAGCACAGGATCTACCTGGATGTCTGTGTTTATTAAGCCTGCATCCACAGGAGAGTGTCTTACTGGCTGAGCAGTGTGTATCATGCCTCAAGGGTCTGCGTTTGCATGTGTTAATCAGTCTGGGTGGGTTTGTCTGGGTATACCTGTGACACGTGTGCTTAAGCAGTGTGGGTGCAAGCAGTGTTGTTGGTTTAGTAGCTGGCATGCAGATCTGGGAGAATCATAGTATCACAGAATGGTTGATGTGGGAAGGGGAACTTCTTGTCCAACCCCACTTCTCAAGCAGGGCCACCCAGAGTCAGTTGCCCAGGACCATACTCAGGCATCCCTCCTGGTCTTCCTGGCTGTAGTTGCAACCACAAAGAAAGTTACAAGGCTCAGTTAGGCAGCACTGGCCCTGTCAGTAAATAATTGTGCAGTTCAGGCTTTAGTTTGGGCTTTTTTTTTTTTTTTTTTTTCCCGCTGGATTTGACTCCATAGAGAATCGGCCAGACTGTGCTGAGCTGGTCCCATCTGCACCCAACCTGGAGAGCAGCTTTATCTTGCCTTGTAAAACTGCAGAGCTCTGTGACAAAAGAGTTAATCTCTGCCTTTGTTTCTCTTCCTCTCTCTCTTCTCTCTTGCAGTGGGACTGAAAGGCAAGATGAGAGCAGATCCATCAGTGTCAGCTGCTTTCAGCACATCAGCACTTTTGGGGGGTTTATTGGGGACTAGCCCATCAGCAGCGCTTCCAAACTGCAAACATGCTGCAGACAGGCCCCTCCTCCCATGCAGCAGCCAGGCTGCCTGGGGAAGGAGCGCCGGGACCCCAGTGCCACTGGCTAGGGACTGGGTGATAAATGACTGCATGAGGCATCTCCACGGCTAGTAAAGTCCAGAGGGTAGGCCAGAGCCAAGCTTCTGGAGAGGCAGCAATGAAACCATGTTAATTCCTGGGCTTGCATCCATGTGTGTCTGTGTGTCTGTACTGTCTGAAATAATACACTTGACACAAACACACATGCTTCACTTCCAGCACACACAGTAACACGGAAGAGGGGTGAAAGAGAAAATAACCTGATTGACAGGTTAATGAAGCAGTTCATAACAGCAAAGTATATTATAACCTTAGAAACAGCTTGTAAATACCCAGTTGCTTTACATGTATAAACATACTTCCCTGCCTAGCTCTGCGTATATACATTTGCCAATATATGAAATGAACGTGCCTGTTTATATGCGTATCTAAAAGGTGCAGGAATGAGAAATCAATGCTCTGCAGTGAAACCAAAGAATAAATGGGAGCTGGAAAAAATTAAGCTTCATTAGCCTAGCAGCCATATATATCTCCTGACTTTTATTTTACATCTAGGGCTAGGAGCCTTCCTTCCAAAGCAGTGGAGGGACTTAGGAACACACATCTCACCGTCTTGCACTCCCAAGCCCTCTTGCTACTCTTGAAAAAGCCACCTGTGGGCTGTTTTTTTTTCTTTATTTATTTGTTTTTTTGAATCCCAGGGTCTTGGGCTTCAGCCCAGCTCATAAAGCTGGGAAGTCACGTTAGCCTGAGGAGAGCAGAGTTTGAACCCATATCTAATCCAGGGTTTTGACTAATCCCTCACTGCTTTGGTATGTCACTGAAAAGCTTAGGTATATTATTTACTAGGCAGATATTTGGATGTCTTTGTTTCCTTCTGTATTGTACATATTCATGGGAATTTCCCGATGTACTCTGGACTGGGGCAATGACTTACACAACAATACTTTCTCTCTTTTGTGGGACCTATTGGCAAATATAAATAGTGACATACTGAGCTCTTGTGGATAGATGACAGCCCCAGGAGCTGAAAAATCAAGTTAAGCATGACTTTTAGCTTTAAAGGACCTTTAGCTTTTCATGACTCTGCTTTTACTTGTAAGCCTTAATTTTACAGTAAGATAATTCCCCTGGGTTCTTTTCCTAGCTTCTCTTAGAGAAAAGAAGAAGATTAAGAGATTTCTCATACAGACAAAGGAGTGTGTTATTTGCCAATTCCCAGTAAAAGCCAAGCAGTGTTTCCAAGTGTCATGACTGCGGATGAAAAAATTCAAAGATCCAAGTGTACTGAGAAGGATTGGAACCAGCAGGTTGATAGAACCCAACCTACACAATGGAAAGTTGACTTTATCACATTGAAGTTTGACTCAGACTTGAACTCGCACAAAAATTGTCAGCAAATTCCTGTCTAAGAGTATACAGTCAAGTCCCTGGCCTCAGTTCTTCTCAAAAGAGTTGTGCCAGTACTATCTTCCCTGATGTGAATCCCAAGCTGAAAGCACTTAAGGGGTGGGATATGTGCAGAGACTGTTGATGTGACATATACGGCACCAGGCAAGGAGCATAGGTACATGTATGTATCCTGGGCAGTGTGCAAGTGACCATACCTGCAAGTGTCTAGCCACACATGCTTGTGCTTTTCTACAACCATAAGGGAACCTTTTATTATAAGGCAACAAGCACTGTCTTGGTCTAGCTCTTGACCAGAGTTCTTGATGAGCTTGTGATCTGAGGAGCTTACAGGCAAAACAGTCAAGCCAAGTATTTCTGTATTAGTCTTAAAGCTATGAAACAGAGGTGACTTGTCCCTGATCACATGCAAAGCTGAAGGCAGAGCTGGGAATGGGGCTCAGATGTCCAGCATGGTAAGATCATTCTTTCCATTTCTGTCAAGACTGGTCAATTATGCTAAAGCAACACTGGCTGAACATTTGCATGGAAGCAAACAGATGTATACCTGAGCCTTTAGGAGCATCATAGCTCTGTAACCAGGAATCCTCTGGCAATTTGAGGCACTGTCTAAGGGAACTGTTCTGCCTAGTATCCTGTACTTCTCTAAGCTCCCCCTTTCTTGATCTCCTAGGATTAGGATCTGCAGTTGCTCTCCACAGATGTATCAACCCTTCTATGTAAGATGGAGGAGAACAAGTTAACTTAAGCCAGGACAGGAGATTAGGGGTGATAGAAGTTTCGTTTGTAGCCTGGAGAATTGGTGTCCTTGCATCATGGACTTGTCCTTAATTCTCCACCAGGGAAGACTGTCAGGTTTGAGCTGACTGATGCTGCTTGTGGAATTCTCTCCCTGCCCCAGAGACAAGAGTAGGGGGTGGGAGTTAGGGGGCAATTAATTTCATGTGGGAGGAATAGGTGAGGGATGGGAGCTTGCAAGGTCTCTCTGTCTTTGGTGGTAAGGAGGAGAAGGCTATGCACAGTGGTTCAGCTGTCTTCTACCAGCCAGCCAGATTCAGGAGGCCTTCCCAGTCAGAGCAGAAAGCTCAGCTTTGCTGCTGTCAGCACTGCTGAGAGCAGGATCTGGGGATGGGTGAATCCAAATATCCAGATCGCATGGATATTGGCTGGAAACGTTCCACCATATCCGGGTGGCTGCCTTTGCGTGATATTCATGCTTGTCAGAAAATTAATTATTCCATTCACCAGTCTCTCTGAGCAGGGAGGATTACCTCTCAATACCTGGAGCTCCTCCTGGGGGTGGTGTGTGTTTGTAAGCACGTCTGTCTGCATGCCTGCTTACTGAAAGGGGGTGTGTGTGGCGGACGTAGATATGTACAGACAGCAAGAGATGGTATATTACTGTAGGCACAGAGAAGGAGTGACATGAATGATGCAGAAATAAGAAAGATGCCTTGCTCTGTGTGTCTGTGACAGAGGGTGTCCTTGGGGATACTTTCTGCATACCAGAGAGAGGGGTATTTTCCTCCAGGTAAGGTTAGCTGTGTGCGGGAGCAGAGGGTGCAGGGCTTGGGTAAGTGGCCATGAATTCCTTGTCTTTGCCCTTATGTATGTAAGAAATGCACACATGGCCTAGGCTGTGTCCCCATGCTTTTTAGATCTGCCTTCAGAAAGATTGATGTGTTTGATGCAAGCCTTAATCTGCCCATGATTTCCTGTGTACTTGTGCTGAGAACAGCGAAAGAAGTTCATGTGTACACACTGATTATTGAAACACTGCATATGTGTTGAAAAATCTCGGGTCAGCTGACATTGCAATAGTACCTGTCATTTTGATTTTGATGCATTTGATTTTGACTATGGGCCTCCTAAACATAGCTCCAGGTCTTGTCTTCTTGCTTTTCCATTTGATCAGCCCCATGTACTTCAGGGGGTAACTTACACCTGCAAGTGAGCAGAATCAGGTCTGGTGATATTTAAAAGTAAAACCATTTCACTGGAGTCTGAAAGCTTTCCTGGGATGCTCTAACTCACAGGAGTTCTTATCCCATATGGGGCAGCATGGTCTGTACATGTTCTGGGGTTGGAGTTTTCCAACTGCAGCATCAAGGAGTGATCTTCCCTAGAAAGCAAAGCTACTTAATTGTGGCTTGACTCTGAGAGCACCCTGATTGGCTCTGCTAGGCAGCACAGCGCTGAGTTTCAGGCTTGGGGTATTCTTGGAAATTTGTATTATTAATTGAGAGCTTATTAATGGCAAACACAGGATGACATTTTACATGGTTTAGTTATGTTCTGAGCCACTGGTACAATGCAGCCTCAGCCACAAGGCAAGGAAGCTCCTGCCGTAACTGATAAGAGAAGGAATAATAGCTCAGTTCCCACTAACTGATCTTGCGGTGACAGGAACGGCCCTTGCAAATGTCTGATCAACTTCAATCTGGTGGTTGCTCATCCTGGGGTTAAGGAAATCTCAGAGGAAAACAGACTTACTCACTGAGGTAATAACCATTCTGGTTTATTAGCAGTGGGCTAGGAGAGGCACTCCTGTAAGCCACAGCCAAGCATCTGCAGCCTCTTTTGTCTGGGAGGAAACACAGGCTGTACAAAGCCCCTGAATATCTCCAGCAATCCTCCTAGTCCCCTCTTATCTGCTGCTACGTGTGCATCCATCCCATCCTGTCTGCCAGAACTCCCTGGGTCTTTCCCAGGCACATTGAGGGTATTTGACTTTAGTGTTGTCACAGGTGGCATTTGCTTGTGTTGCTGAGGCTCCTCAAGGAGGCACTCATTCTGCATAAGCTCTGCTTTGGTTCTCAGAAAGAGGGACAAAGTTTGGAGACTTCCTGCCAAAGCTTGGCCTTAGGTTGGGAAAGCCACCCTGTGTGACAGAAGTAAAGGAGATGATGGTGGGAAGCCACTCCCCATCTGGGTTTGTAGAAATAGCAGTGCATATCCCCCTTCACAAGACAAAGCTCACATGTGGGTGCCAAATAGACTGTTCCTTGTCTGAGACTTATGGAGCTAAGCATCTGCACAGACTGATGAGAACTTCCCTTGAGGACCTCCACAGATCTGTTAGATCTATAGATCTGTGGGACACAGGTAGTCTGTCACCCATAATACTCAGTCCTGCAGTCCCACTCTGCAGGTATTAGCTTCATCAATGGCTGAGGATGGGTACAAAGTCTTTACTGCAACTGCTGAGAGCTGTATAAGGGAACACAGACAGCAGAGCTCCTCTGCATTCCCTTGTCCAGCAGCAGAATTATTTCTACAAAGGCACTGCAGGCTCTGGGAGGAGATTATAGGCCAAGCACTTAAACTCTTCCTCCCTGGATTAGCAAGAGCCCCACAGCTGTGGATTGTCTGATGCCAGCAAATAAACCAGATGGATGACATGGATGGAGGTAGGCCAAGCTGGGATGGAAACCACAGTGTGCCCTCCTGTCTTAATGGGCTTCTGGAAGATGAAGTAGCACAAGCTGGAAAAAGCCTTCAGCTGCAAAGCTCTCTATATTGAGGTAATGGGAAATGGGATCTGCTGGTTTTTGTGAGGCTTCAGCTGTGGCTGTTGGAATCTCCTCTGATGCTGCAGGAAGAGCCCTGGGTACCTACAGGAATGTGGGATGTTTCCAGGCTCCACTGGAGAATAGAATCCAGACCTGCAGCTGTAGAGAGCAGTGGGCTTGGGAATTAAAATCCAGCGTTCATAATGAGAGGTATCATGGACTGCATGCATGCTAGAGGATATGACTGCTGTTGCCAGTTCTGGTTAGCAGGTTGCAGGAAGCTGAAGCCCACCCAGTCTGCAGAGGACAATGATGGGTCAGTGCTGCTGGGCAATGTACGCTGCTTTTGCAAGGCGCCAGACCTGGCTGTTCCTCCAGCACTTTATGGCTAAGATCTGTTACCTGGGTGATGGCAAGGCCTAGAATTTGGATCAGACTCTCACTGTGCTAGATGCTGTATATACAGGTCTCTTGAGCTTCATGTCCAAAAAGAGCTTTTTCTCATGATTAACAGGACATCATTTTATGGATGGGCTGTGAGAAAACTACAAGTGCCTCACTTCACCACTTGTCCAGGATCCCCAGAATCTGTCTTCCTTCAAAACCCAAGGTAAGGTAACCTATCCTTGTCTCTGCATCTCCCCACTGACCATTTAGGCACCCAAGCTTAGTGCTCCCAAATAACAAGCGATTAAAATGACTCACAGATCTCTTGAGTTTGGAGGGTACAGAAAATTCCATAGGACTTTGTACAAATAAAAGACTCACCTGCAATGACACAGGGAGTCCATATCAGTGCTGAGAACTTAATTTGGCTCTGCCCTAGTCTTATGCCTTAGCCCCATGACTGGCTTTTCCCAAGAGACTAGTTGGGTTGTTTCAAAAGGTAGGGGCAGTGTGTCCAACACTAGAGCATGCCTGCAGTGTGCTTTGGGGTACTTTGAGTTGGGGTATTCCAGCTTTACTAGGAGATGAGTCTCTTGCCACCATGCAACACGAGTTGCCAGAGTCTGTCTCAAAATAAAGGCCTGAACCTCAGTTCAGTGTCTCTTCAAGCCAGGCCAAGCTGCCTGCAAGTCTGTTTTGGAAGGGATTACTGAACACTCCCCTCAGCGTGCTGGAAAATCACCACTGCTGGTAACAGGTACTGTCCAGACACTTCACATAGTGTTTATGGGGTTCAGTGTGGAGGGGTGGATTCAGGATGCGCTTGCCAGGCTCTTTATTGCTGTGGGGGAGCATGCCCTTTCTAGGTGTGATCCTCACCACTGCCATTTGTCCTTCTTTCTCTATTCTGCCATCCCCGAAGCAGCCTGGATTGGTTATAGCCCACATGTTACAGTGGCCAACCTGCAAAGAGAGAGCCAGAAAAAGTTAATGTGGAGTTCTGGTCTACTCCCAGGATGCATTTGGGCTGCAGCCCATAATGATATGTATAATTGCAAAGGCCTGCCAAAAAAAGCAGGCTGGATTTAATTGAGTCAACACACTGCTATTAATAATAAAATGGCAGAGACTTTGCTATTAATCACTTGTGCTGGCTTTATCACAGGCAGTCTCGGCTATCTGGCTACCAAACAAGACCTTAAAAAAAAATGGTGCAGTGGAAAACTTACTAGTGGGAATACACCTGCTAACAACATAAACCTTGTAAACAAAATGTTCCTTGCAGAATAATTCACTTTCTGAAGGGGCAGCCTGTCTGGGAGGCAAATAGGATTATATCAGATGCCTGTGTCCTGCAGCAAAGTCCTCCTTTATAGGAATAGATCACTGGAGGATGCACTTAGCAACTGGTGCATCTTTGGAAAAGGTTATGCTTGATAAAGGACTTTGTATGAGGTGGGAATTCAGGGAGAAATGAATCCTCCAAAGAGAAACGTGATTGCTGCAGGAATATGGCACAGCCCAGAGAGGAATGCATCTGTTCCTAGTAAATGGAAAATGTACTGTTTATTGAGGTACTGAACAAAAAGGGAAATGCAAAACAAATACCCTGCATGACACTTAAATTGCAGCTCTCCTTGAGGAGGACTGCAAAAAACTGGTATATCTGGATGGATGGCTGGATGTGGAGCTCTGTACCCCAAAGTGCATGCTGCTAGTACTGCCAGCAACACCACAGAAGGAGTAGGGTTTGGTCTTCTGAGGGGCCACTGCGGCCCAGGAGTGCTCTCTTTCCTTTAATATGACTTGGCCATGCCGTGAGGAAGGGGTTGAATGGGGCTCCAGCCCTTTCACGCATGCACTGTGTTTGCTTACCTGAGCTGCCCATGTTCCCTGTGGCCTTCTTGATGTGCTGCACCCTAGTGACAGGGGTTGGTACTGTTTTCTTATGGTAGTGCAGTGGAAGCATGCTGCATTTTTAAACACTCCCCCAGCCAAGGCTGTTACCTTAGCAAGCACGGTAATGGCAGTTTTCACTTTTGCATCTGAGTAGAGCTGCTTGCTATGACTACGTCTGGGAAGTGACCATGTAGAAAAAAGGTCTGAAACCCAGGTGAAAGGGAATAGGCTTGCAAAATGTGCCTCTGAGCAGGAAATGTGATGTGTCTATAGGCAAAGCCAAACGATATAGAGCAGGTAGAGAAACAAACAAAACAGATACATTAGGTGTCTTTTAGCGTAAGAGGTTGTGAGGCTTAAAAAGAATTACTGGCAGATGGCTGGACAGGGAGAATCTGCTGCCTTCCACATCTGAGAATACCAAAGGAATGGGTTTTTTATTCTCTTGAAAGTTTTCCTGCACAAAGGGATAAATTTTGTGTGCACCAATGCAAAAAATCTGTGTGCGTCTTGCACAAATAGTCAAACTAAGTAAATGATTCAATAGGCTAAAAGACCTTTCTCTCTGCTATGAATTAACAAGGTCCATAAATGAGTGCAAATGTTACCCCTCAGAAAGAAAGAAAAAAAGAGATAAAGCAAGAACAAAAAACAAAACAAAAAAAAAACCTGGAAAAAAAAATTATCCACTTCCTGCTGTTTTCCTTTCCTCCCCATAAAGTGAGTGTCTTATCCTCAGAGAAATTCACTTCATTGTTAGAAATAGCTGAAATTGGCTTGCAACTAGTAAAGATGCCAAGAATTTGCACCTTGCTCTGTGACCTAAAGCAAAAATGACATGAACATTGACAAATTTGACAAGGAAATTTGTGCAAAAAACAACTTCTATTTGGCTAGCCAAGCAGCAAATATGTCGGATGATATGCTTTATTAAGCAATCCATTTTTCAGCAATAGCTGCACCATCTGCAAAGGTTAGTGTGCATCAGGCTTTCCACAGAATTTCATCTGCGTCTGCAGCTAGGTGCAACACACGACCACATTTTTCATGTACATACAATTTTGGATGCAAATAGAATACTTGATGAAAGAGGTGACCTTCCGGACTGACTTCCCCCATGCAGTAAAGTCACAGGCACAGAAGCAGCTGAGAGAAACATATCTCTGCCTGGAGGGAGGAGGGGGGAGTGGGAGAGAAGAAGGAGGGGGAAAGGGAGAAATAAAAAGAGGAGAAAACTTCAGGAAAAAGTGTTTCCCAAAGAAATGGTTTGGCACATCGCATAGCAGAGGCTCCACACCTGTACCGGTCAAAGGGGAACAGAAACAGTTGTGTTGGGTTAGTTGCAGTTTTCTTCTGGATGGTATCCATCTCTCCATCTTCTAGTTTTTCTCTTGTTAACTTGTGTAGTTCCTGCTACTATACTACCTAAATATCCTTGTCTTTCATTGCTTCCTCTATTATGGTTTTCATTCCAGACCTGTCATCTCTTGGGGATGAGCCATTTGCCTTTTTGCTACTACTGCCCCTGCTTGGGGCTGCTGGATCTCCTTCTAAACATCCTTGTCTGCGTGGAATGTATTTTCTAAACCTAAGGAGGGAAATCATTGTTTCCAAATATTAGTTGGACAAATCCATTTTCTGTCCTTTTTGTTCTTTTTTTTTTTTTCCTTAAAGGCATGATGGTCCTGCCTCTGTATTTTCCTGTATTGTTTTCTAGTAGATGAATATGGTCCTTTTGTGTCCTGCCTGCCTACATTAGGTGGAATCAGCTTTTCTCTAGTCCCCAGTCTTCTTCCCCAAGTATATGCTGTACACATGGCTCCCTACGCCTCATTGGTGGTTGCTGGTTATAAATTCATGTTCTCAATCCCTACTCTGCTTAGCTGAAGCTGGATGCCATCCCAGTGCCTTGCAACTGTCCCTGGTCCAGTGGAAAGTTTAATCTGCCAGTTTATGGCATGTCATCCTATGGGGAGAGTTCAGTTCAGTGCAGCTCCACACTGCACAGAGAGAAGCTCATTAGCAGGACATGGTAGTGTCTGATGACACTGTGGTCCAAGAAGGCCTCATTAGGCACAAAATGTTTTCTGCAGCTCTGAGGTTTCCTAGTAACTTAAGGAATTCAGACATAGTTACAGTGGGGGCACAGATGAAATGGGGAGCAGAGGTGCGCTCTCCAAGGGCCATCTCCCCTGTGTGTCTTTTGGAGGAGCAGTTATCAGATGAACCCTTTGACTCCTTTTACATAGCCTTGGATGCTAGTTGCGAAGCTGCAGCTAGACCGGCTGGGCCTGGCATGCACACTCTTCCCTGGCTGGCTGCTAAGTGGTGTTAAGTGATGAATGTTAAACTTAACAAGTGGACTTACAGATTTACGTAAGGATTTTACTGCCTGCCAGGTATAAATGATGGAACAGCTTTGATCTTTAGGGGGATCAGCACTGGAAGTGATTTAAACTAAAGTTAATAAAACTGCTTAAAACTGTACTCTGTAGTCCCACAGGCTGAAGGAGCCCTGGTGGTCACTTGACTGCTCTAAGTAAAAATTGTTCACATTTATGAGGGAGATCAAATCCCATTGGTGTTAACTGTGTTTCCAGCTGAATAATAAATGGTATCTTCCAAGAGTTCTGCAAGTCCTTCCCTGTGTGTGCTGCAGGTCCCACAACCTGCTGGAGCTACCAAGCTGTTGTCCACAGATGCAAAAAGTGGTGGTCTCTTGGTTATTTCCATGATTTCCATGGACTTTTCTCATTCTTTTATCACTTCGTAATCTCTGAACCAGGTCTGATCCCTTTGCTCTTTCGTAGCATGTCACATACTAGTGCTGTGATTTTTTATTTTGCCATGAAATAGGACTTCTAGTGTGTTTTAACTTTGGAATTTGCTGGCCAGCAGAGACAAGTAAATGCCATAAAGATCAAAATTTCATTGGTTTTATGGTAGACTTTGCCACCAGTGACCTTTAGAAAGCGGATGTTGCATTGCAGTTTTTATGAATGGTCCTGTAATATCTTCTTTCATTGCAAGGCATATTGAGAAAGTTCTCCACTAAAGTTTAATTTTTAATGGTGCGTCTATTTTTGTCTCCTAGGAATCTCAGCTGCCCCCTATGGTATTTCCATTGTGCATTTCCATAGTGTCCCAAGATGAAACAGTGTGAGCTGCAGTGGGCAAGGTGCTCAGACGCTGGTGCAAACAGCACTTGTGTAACCTGTGCTGATTCAGGTGAAGAAGTGGCTGCTCAGTAACTATGAGAGAAGTTGATGGGATTTACTGGCATCCCTGTATCAGCCCAGCTCATTAGGTTTACAAGTGAGACCAAATTCCATCAGTTAATTGTGTTCACAGCTATGAAGCAAACAGGCTTCATGCCAGGGGGTCATACTGTCAACCGGAGTCACTGGGTTCTCCCTCCAGACACACACAAATGGAAGTCATCTTGCTATTGCTATAGGGTTTTCTAATTCTCCTGCCATTTCCTAGAAACTATTTAACAACTACTAGAATGCCTTCTGTCTGCTTGGTAACAAAGCAAGTAGCCTTTCATGGGCCTCTCTAGAAATCAATGATTGGCAGCCACTGAAATTGAATTAGCAGTAACTCAGCACTGGTAGAAAAAATACTTTTTTTGTTTTTTATTTCAGCCCAGTGCACTGTTAGTGATGAAACTCTGCAGCGGAATGCTTTGATGAGGCTGTGATCTTGGAAGGATACAGAAAGAGATGGGCTGTTTCAGGCAGATCACAAGGAAATCCTGGTTTATAAAGGTACAGTCAAGTCTGGGGTAGGATTTGCTCTGCAGAGGAGCCAGCTGGAAACTGACAGTGACTGGGAGGAAGTTGCATGAAAATCTTGTTTCTTGTACCTTGTTGTGTAATTACCTCTTGCAGAGTTTGGGCGTTTTTCTGAATTACAGTCACTGTTGGAGACAGGTTATGGGCTTAGACAGACCACTGGCTGGACAGCCTGGTATTTCCTGCATTCTTACTTCCATGGATCCTTTAATAGCTCAGTTGCCTGCCTTTGTCCTGCTATTGTGTCTCACTGCAAGGATGGTCTGTGATTGTCATGGGATTTCTGCTAGACAGCTAGACAGCTTCTAGTAGTATTTTCAGAGCCCCCTGATATGCTCCTCACACTCCTGTAGCATTTTCTAAATCCCCTGGGGGCTGAGGGTCATCTCTCACTTTACATGGAATAAATTGATAATGACACAATGAAATCAGTCATGATGAAATGGCTCCATTTTTATTACAATGAGAGGGGATTTTGGATCCATGTTGCTGTTGTGGTGTCTCAGGAGCTGCCCTTACACCGCAGTGGTGTTTTGGCAAAGATTTCCAGGGGTGTTTTGAAGTCTCCTATCCCATCCCGTAAACTTGACACTGGATTCAGCAGACTGTGTTCAGAGGTTTGCGGTGTGTTTCCAGAAAAGTTCTCCACACTGCATCTTGCAGCAGCCTGTCCGTTTGCTGTGGCTGGATTCTTGTAGGGCCACAACTGTTGTGTTAGAGAGTGAGGAAAGTGATACACATACTAGATGATCAACTGTGGCTGGAATTTGTTCCTCACCCATTGGTCAGTGTGGGTGAAGAAGTAGTTTGGGAATCATCACATGATTTATGGTTATTTGCTTGTGGCTCCTAATGGCTATTTTTCCTCTTACTGTCTCATCTGACTAAGGGCTAGTTTCCAGTAGCTTTCTTACTCCCCTGGAAAAGATGCTGTATGTCCCTGGAAGTCTGGGGAAATCAGGCACATTGTGTGACTCCTTTGAGCCTGAACCTCTGCTCTCAGCTTATTTCTGCTGCCTGGTATCTTGCCCATGCTGCAGTGTGGAGTAAGCGCTAAAGTACTCAGGCAAGATAAATCAATGGGTGTCTGCTGATTTACGCCACTGGAAGATTGGGCCCAGGTCAGATAGAGAGCAGAGAACCCTCCAACAGAGTCTCTTTAAAAGAAACCACAGGCAGGTATTTCAGCCCAGTTAGCTGGGCATTCAATTACGGCTTTTGCTACAGAGTAAAACCAGTTTTTCCAAAGAACACTGGTAGCAGCCTCTTAAAAAAGGAGTTGTGGTCCCTCCCCGGTGACCTTTCCTTGTCAAATGCTGCATGCTATGATGTTCCTACACAATGGAGAACACTCTGGTCTCTGTGTACTTGGCAAAGGAAGAAATGGCTTTTTTAATCTCATTGCATGAATTATTGGCAAAACGTTTGAAGTGGCTCCAAGATTCCTCTCTGACTGACTTGCATTTTCTCAGGAGATTTGTGTAGTTTGGGAGTTTGGAACGTGTAACTGAATAACTCGGAGAAAGCATTTGCTACCTTTTGAAAGGCTGTTGTGTCCTTGCAGAAAAACCACTTCATCTGCTGCATCGACATCCCTTTGCAGAGGGCAAGCCCTCTTGGGCATGACATGCTGTGTCCCCTCAAAGGACACTTACCCTTGTGCTTCCCTGCCTGGCCCTGGGTGCAGGTATTGCCTGGAGGCAGTGCCTCCTGCGGACACTGCTGTGGCATTGCCCGCAGCCAAACTGCGGACATGGGAGCAGGGCTCTGCTGTGCCAGGCCTTGGGCAAACATAAGCGTGTGCCAG